AGCACGTGTTTGGCTGTTATGGCTGCTGAAAGGGAAGCTGGTTCCTTCAATACAATACCTCTGCAGTCAACTAAGCTGACCAGGTTCTTCTCCTCATGGGGCCCTATGTACAACAGTTTCAAGCAATAGCCTCCTTGGGAGTATGCAGCCTGTACCTAGTTTGGGTTGCCCTAAAGGGTCTTTGAAACAGAGTTATCTGGTGGATATGCATGTCTCTAAGCTCACGCTGTCTTTACACTGCGCTCCAGACCTGACACGGTGGCCAGTTTCACACAAGCCAGGTCATCATGTCCATCTGCTTCAAGCTGCAGAATAAGGAACATGTGTTTGAGGCCCTAGGAAAGGCCAGGTTCAAGTTCCCTGGCCACCAGGAGATCCACATCTCAAAGAAGTAAGGCTTCATATAGTTTAATTCACATGAATTTGAAGACATGGTCTCCAAGGAGCAGCACATCCCTGATGTCTGTGGGGTCAAATACATCCCCATTCGTGATCCCTTGGAGCAATGGTGGCCCTGTACTCCTGAAGGCTTCTGTTGGGCTGAGTTCCACATTCTGCCCATCATGTTTGCTAATAACTCTCACATTCGAAGCAAACAAACCAACTATAAAGCCAGATGTAGTTGCTCATGCCTGCAATCCTAGCATTTGGTAAGTGGAGGAATAAGGATCAGTATTTCAAATTTACCTTCAGCCATAAAGGGAATTTGAGGCTATCCTGGAGTACATAAGACACTGCCTTTAAAAAGTGCTTGAGTACACACACACACACACACACACACACACACACACACACACACACACACACACACACCACAATAGTCACATAGCATTTAGAAAGCTAAGGCAGGAAGGTTGAGATTTCAAGGACAATCTTCGTCACAAAGACCCCCATTTCAAAAACTAAATAAATAAAATAACAGCAAAACAAAATCACACACATTACAAAGCCTAAATAAATGAAGAGAGATATATCATTACCATGTTTGTAAACTAGAAGATTAATATTGATAAAATATTAATTCTCAAATTGATCTGTATAATCAATATAATCCCATATGAAATACCAACAGTCTGTTTTTCTATCCATCAACAAACAGCTGCTAAAATTTATATCAAAAATCAATAGTGTGCAGGAACACACTAAAAGTATCAGTACTGGGGAGGCTGAGACAAAAGGATCTTAAGCTTGTGGCTTGTGTTATTAAAAACGAAATAACAACAGCAGAGAGACTGGTTACGGATGGTTGTGAGCCACCATTTGGGTGTTAGGAACCAAACCCAGGTCCTCTAAGTTAACCATCTCTCCAGCCCCTATGTCCTTGTTTCTGGACCAACCATTGCAGTACACAATCAAGGGACCAAGAATGTAGCTCAGTGAACCCTAAACAATGTTTTTAAGAGATGAGGGTCTCTATGATACAGATGACTGCTCAAGTAATTCTCCTGCCTCAACATATGGAGTAACTGGGACAAAAGGTGTCTGCCATTGTGCCTGGTACATTGAATGTTTTCGGAGTCTGGCCCACTGAAGTTAGAATCAGAATTACCTAGAACCTTGACTCTGAGTATCCAGGGGTTTACCTGGGAATCTGCCACTGCAATAAGCTTGTCAGGGCATGCCACCTGCACTTTGGGAACTCAACTCTGGTTGCTGTTATCATTAGATCCCTGAACCCTGGGGAGAAGTTGCTTCTGTCTTTGGGTTCTCATGTTTGGTTCGGATGCTCCCTGCCAGAGTGTGAATACCATGACTTCCTGACATGATGGGATGTCACACAGCATGGTGCTTGTCCTTACAGCGCTCTTCCATTTGTGTACTGGATGCCATTTCTACCTGCTGGGGTCCTAACACCACAATAGAAGCTGCAGAAGGGAGGAAAACAGTTGTAAGCCACCCTAGGCTATGTGGTGTAAGACCCTGGCGGATAATGAAGGGACCATTCACCACTTACAACCTTCACTGGAGCTCAAGATCCCGGGCT